AAAAATAATATTTTTATTGAATTTATTTTACAAGTACTTACTTTTATTTAAACGTATGTTTGATGCAATGTTAATAAACTCTGTACGAGATTGCATAGACTAATATTATAGGTATTAGGTAAAATAATATCGGTGATTAGCGACACAAAATTGCAATGAGTTAAGTATTCTTTGGTATCATTGTTACGTACCTAGACCGTTATACCTCAAGATCTTTTCAGGTCATGTAAGTAAAATAATTCCTAAACTAAATAAAAATAAAACAAAAGGCCTAACTGAACATAATTAATGAAAGGAAATGAACGTCGCTAAGGTTACAAAAAACAAATGAATACATAGTTCGGACTTACGTAAAGTCGTTGATATCCAGAATAGGCATCCCTTTTATTGCGACATTTTACTGAGGCGGCGAGAATTATTGAGGTAATCGACACCTCCTAGGTGTACGTGTTTTTGAAGGCTTTGATCACGATTCTACCTATATTATTTACTATTCGAAAAAAGGGAATACATAGTAAATATATTTTTGTGTTCTGAAAAGTGTCTACACGTAGAAGAAAATTATATTTTGTGATGAAAATTATTAAGACTTGTAAGTAACTGTGTTGTGATTATTTGATAATCATGGGTAAGTAGACTTCACTAACTACCCAATATTGAACTCACTCACTGGCACTACTAAAAAAAAATCTGTTTCATAACTTTAAATTCACGAAAATAATGGAACAGCATAAATATTGCAGCGTAATTACTCCAAGAATTTAATAATCGAAGTAAACATCAGACACGAAGAGGATATTTCACGAATATCGATAACCTGACGTAAATGTATGGATATGGAAAAGCAGAGTGACATGGTGTCCTTTGTTTCCCGGACGCGTAAATTCCGGAGCGCCAGGGGTAGGGTTGCCAAGTCCAAAAACACAAAAGCCGGACTCGGTGCTTAATTTGCCCGGAAATTTAACCCTAAAAGCCGGATATACTTTTTTATTGCTAATCATAGCTTTTTAAACGTCCTGATATTATGTACTAAAAGGCGAAACATATAATAAATAAAGCTTGTAGAAACTCGCGTCTCATGGCTTTACTTGTGCGCTGGACTTTCGACTAGCGCGGCAGCCACATAAAAACCCCATAAAAACCAAAAGACGAACAAAAAAATATTTGGCGGGACACATCCGTAAAAAGACAAACGGCGAAAAAGACACTTGGCAACCCTAGCCAGGGGACGAACAGTCTATCAATCATACTTTGACATTCGATTTTTCGTCCTCGCCCGACTGGAGGGATAATGCGCGTATAACTTTTGAAACATTGTCAATTTTCGGAACTTGCTTATTTACTTTGTACGGAGTATGCACTTTGGTATAATCTTATTTTTATTACTCTCTTATCGCTCTTGACAAACTACATAGGTCATAAAGACCGGCTTTGTGGCTGTTTCCTAAGGTCTGGTTTTAATGTGTTTGTGTCTCTATAAGCTTTGGTTTTTAATAGATAGTGAAGCTTTAGCTTTCTAAACCATCTAGTTGTTCTTTGTTCCAAAAAAATGTATAATAAAGTAAATAGATCGTCGGTCCACCTACTAGTAGGAGGACTGCCCACGCGGGCAGCGCAGGACCGTTCATTGTGGAAAGCCTTGGGAGAGGCCTTTGTCCAGCAGAGGACGTCATTTGGCTGAAACGAACGAACGAATGAATTTAAATAGAAATTAAAAGTGAGCATTGTTTTTATTTCCTAATCAGAAAATTTAACTAATATTAAGTTGTATTTACAAGTCTTTTTGTATTAATCAGTGTCCTTCATCGATGGTCATGACGGTGGTGTCGGGTTCGTAGTTGAAGTCGAGGGTGCGCGTGCGCACGATCTCCTTGTACACGAAGGCGGACTTGCGCGGCGTGCGCGTGCGTTCTGGGCATTCGTAGTCCACTTCGTAGAGTCCAAAACGTTCGCTGCAAGTATTGAAAGTAATTAAAATAACCAGATTACATATACTTATAACCAAAAATTATGGTTTGGTTAATCGTAACCAGTGACAGCACCAATAGAGTACAGTAAATTAGTTTATTTTGAAAGTAGGGGAAACTGTCACCTTACACAGAGATTGGGAATGAAAACTGTAGAACTAAGTATAAGTAGATTCAATTTTGATTGCATGTGAAACTTGTATCGTAATTTAAATCAAATAATAAGTAAATCTACTTTGAATCTATTATGTGCTCTGTTCGGCTCACGAATAGGTAGATATGTCAAGTGAGATCTGCCTATATCATATTGGTAACAACAGTTTATTTATTTTAGGCACTTCACTTTGCTTCATCAAGGTTGCCAAAATTTTACATAAAAATATCTTTATCTGGCTCTTAAATGACGTTTAAGTTCTACTTGTTCAGATGAACGATAAGATAGACAGAAAGGCACGAAACAAAATTTTGATGGGCATGTTTTGGCAATACTCAAAACCACCAACGAACCCATCAAGATATATTCATCATCATCAAATATGTTTTATCAAATTTACCTACACTTCAAATAAACTTGAAGCTGTAAAACTTGGTCTTGTCTTAAGCCTAAAAACGGCAATAAAGGGTACCATTTCCAGAGTAGATTTGTACAGATGTTTTCCCAAAAAGTATTAATAAAATTGTATAATTTTTTTCGGTAGCATTATAAATAACTAACGATTTGATTCACGGTATGGTTCTAAGTGAAACTTAGATAACATACCAGTTTTTGAAAGTGTTTATAAACAAAGAGACTTACGTGTATCCACGCATCCATTCAAAGTTATCCATGAGACTCCATGCAGTGTACATTCTAATGTCAGATCCTTCNTAACATGGGCATATAAATGGTATGGTGAAGTCAGAAAATTGATATCTTCATTTTAATATTTTTAATTTTCATACAAAATAAATTTTAAAAAATCCGATTTGTATGAAAATTAAAATAATTAAAATATATCAATTTTCTGATTTCACCATACCATTTATATGCCCGTGTTAACATGGGCTAGTGTCGGCTCATATACCCATTTACCTAACACCCTGTATATTTTTTAATAAATATAAACTTATTACTTTTTTCCACATGAATGTGTTATAGATAAATGATATGTGTTAATATAAAATAAAGGATTACTTAAACGATAAAGAGATCTTTGTCTTAAATTTATGCTCCTCCATCTTTCCCCATTGTAATGTTATGAATTTGATTTTGCAATAAAAATACCATAGTTATGACTCGATTGTCATAATGAACGAACATTGTAAACCTTGCGCAATAAAGATCATCCGGGGTTTAAGAACGATCAGCACTGCCGCTGCAATCACTCTCTCACAGCTTACCCCGCTTCCAGCAAAGGTCGCAATGGTTGCTGATATTGAGAATTTGAGACCACTAAACTCTCTGGTACAACATCTTTTCTACCCCGAGATATCAACATCGAGAAACTCTGTCATCCGTCCAAATTTCTCCACCCGTCTGAAAGGATCGGCATTCAGTTTGGGGAAATCACCTCCTCATCAGATCTAAATCAGGCTGGTGCCAATCATACCTGGCTCATATATACTGATGGAAGCAAAATTGACGACTGCGTAGGGGCTGCATTTGTCGTCAAAGACTCAACCAACTCACAACCACCAGTCGTCAAGAGGCTCAAACTTCATGGTGGCTGCTCAGTGCAAGCAGAAATGCTCGCTATACAGAGGGCTTGTAAATACATACTTGACTTTCAACTCCCAAACACACTCATACTCTCTGATAGCAGATCCGGCCTCGCAGAGTTGCAAAATGGCAGCAGCCATAACCAGTTGGCCGTTGATATTCACTGACTGCTATACCAAGCCCGCTCATCCAGCTTAGACATCGAATTCGCGTGGATCAAGGCCCACGCTGGATTCGACGGCAATGAGGAGGCAGACTCGGCGGCTAAGGCTGCTGCCAAGATGCATAAATCACCGGACTACCGAGCCGTCCCTATTAGCCTGGTTAAACACCATAATAGACACATATGCGAAGTATCGGCCGAGAAATATACAGTGTGAGTCACGTTAAAGTGTACATATGAAAATTGATGAAACTAGACCTATTTTTATCGACAAAAAAGAGGTCAAAAATTTTTTGAGATTTTTTTTATTTTTTTACAGAATTTTTTTTCTTCCAATTACTTATTGTAAAGAAAACGTAATAACTTTTAAACTAAGCGGTATATCCTGATAAAATAAAAACAGTAATAATGCCAAATAACAGGCGATACTAAAAAAATACATAAAATACATAAAAAAGGCCAACAAATAATAAAAAATGATACTTTTTGAACAAAATCTGCTTTTAAATTCGTGTTTTTTTGGTTATTCGATAAATTTCTCCAAAAAACGCCCCTATAACCGGTGGTTTTTATTACTTTGTATTAGTCTCTATCGTATTACCTTCGTAAAACCAAAAATTACATGTCTCTATCCCTATCACAACGTTTGCAATGATCGTTTATATCACAAAAGCTACTTAAAACGTTTCCATATCGTCGCAGATGACTACTGTCCCTGTGACGACCAAACGCCACAAACATGGGAACATCTTCTTACACAATGCCCTAGATTCGTCACACAACGCCACATCCATGAAACCACTTCTCGCTTGCTTAACGTAAATCCATACAATGTAATAGATATAACCAAAAAAGAAGTAACTACCAATAACCTTGCAGCTAAAAAAAAAACCTTGCAGGTTTGTACGGAACCCTCGGTGCGCGAGTCCGACTCGCACTTGGCCGATTTTTTAATAGATAGTGAAGCTTTAGCTTTCTAATCATCTAGTTGTTCTTTGTTCCAAAAATTGTCTAAAAGTAAATAGATCGTCGCTCCACCTAGTAGGAGGCCTGCCCATGCGGGCAGCGCAGGACCGTTCATTGTGGAAAGCTTTGGGAGAGGCCTTTGTCCAGCAGTGGACGTCATTTGGCTGAAACGAACGAACGAATGAAAGTAAATAGAAATTAAAAGTGAGCATTGTTTTTATTTCCTAATCAGAAAATTTTACTAATTAATATTAAAAAGACTTGTAAAAACAACTTAATAGTTGTTTTTACAAGTCTTTTTGTATTAATCAGTGTCCTTCATCGATGGTCATGACGGTGGTGTCGGGCTCGTAGTTGAAGTCGAGGGCGCGCGTGCGCACGATCTCCTTGTACACGAAGGCGGACTTGCGCGGTGTGCGCGTGCGTTCTGGGCTCTCGTAGTCCACTTCGTAGAGTCCAAAACGTTCGCTGCAAGTATTGAAAGTAATTAAAATAACCGGAATACATATATTATGTAGTTATAACCAAAAATTATGATTTGGTCAATCTTAACCAGCGACAGCACCAGTAGAGTACAGTAAATTAGTTTATTCTGAAAGTAGGGAAAACTGTCACCTTACGCAGAAATTGGGAAAGAAATCTGTAGAACTAATAAGTAGATTCAATTTTGATTGCATGTGAAACTTGTATCGTAATTTAAATCAAATAATAAGTAAATCTACTTTGAATCTATTATGTGCTCTGTTCGGCTCACGAATAGGTATGTCAAGTGAGATCTGCCTATATCAGATTGGTAACAGCTAGTTTATTTATTTTAGGTACTTCACTTTGCTTCAACAATGTTGCCAAAATCTTACATAAAAATATCTTTATCTGGCTCTTAAACAGATGAACGATAAGATAGACAGAAAGGCACGAAACAAAATTTTGATGGGCATGTTTTGGCAATACCCAAAACCACCAACGAACCCATCAAGATATATGATTCATCATCATCATGTCATGACAGAGCAAATATGTTTTATCAAATTTACCTATACTTCAAACAAACTTGAAGCTGTAAAGCTTGGCCTTGTCTTAAGCCTAAAAACGGCAATAAAGGGTACCATTTCCAGAGTAGATTTGTTCAGATGTTTTCCCAAAAAGTATTAATAAAATTGTATATTTTTTTTCGGTAGCATTATAAATAACTAACGATTTGATTCACGGTATGGTTCTAAGTGAAACTTAGATAACATACCAGTTTTTGAAAGTGTTTATAAACAAAGAGACTTACGTGTATCCACGCATCCATTCAAAGTTATCCATAAGACTCCAGGCAGTGTACATTCTAATGTCTGATCCTTCTTCAATGGCGTTCAGCATTTCATTCAGGTAGCCTCTATAGTAAATAATACGATCATCATCATCAAGGCCCCCTCGAGTTGAAAAGCCGTTTTCAGTGATGTAAACTGGAGGGTTGTCATAGTCCTCCCTAATCTTCGTCAGCAGTTTATAGAATCCCCAGGGAATATTCTGCAGTAAGTAAGATGCATGATTAGCTTTTGAATTTGAATTTTTAGCACAGTGCGAGTGATTAAATAAAATATTTTTTACCTTCAACCAAACCGATGCTCCTCCGCTCCAATGGTTAGGATGATACAATTTAGCTTCAATGTCATCGTAGTATGATGGTGCATCATATTCCAACGATTCGTTTGAGTATACCAAGTACGTTGTGTAATGATTTAGTCCGAAGAAATCTGACGATCCACGAACCATCTCTATTTCTTCAGCAGTGAATTCGGGTAGTCTTGATCTTGGGAAACCTTGCGCTGCGCTCTTTGCCGCTACCTTCTCCTTCATTACAGGGGGGAAGTCTCCAGTTTTGGAGAATATTGGATGAGCGTACTCTCCCCACTGAAATTAATAATAATTTACTATTAATAAGCTAATATAGGTAGGTATGTAGAAGGAATATTGGGTCTTCAGCTTAGGTCTTCAGCCACTATTATGTTGCAGAAAAATTATGATCATCACAGAAAATGTAGTTTACTTGAAGCAAATGTATAATTTGTCAACTCTGGCCAGATGTATAAGCACATAAGAAAGATTATGAATACGAGTAAAATAAAAAAGTTCAATCACCTCAAACTGTAGGAGTGTCTCTGCAGCTTCGGCATGATTTTCATTTTCAGGTTCATACCATTGTGCACTGAGTGTGATACCAATGGTGCCTCCCTGTGTTGCTCTAAACTCTTGGTCGTAAATGTGATATACTTTAGCATGAGCAACTAACAGGTTCTTGGCACACATATATTCGGCCATGCCGGTTATGTTCAATCGTGGAGCTTTGGTGTTTGTTCCGTATCCTTGATAGCAAACCTCGCGGGGCTCATTAATAGTGATCCAATANACACTGTATTTAACTCTATCTCCAAATTGCTCAAATAATACTCGGGAGTAGTCAGCAAACCAGTCTGTAATGAAAGAGTTGGTCCAGCCACCCATTTCTTGCAGTTTCTGGGGCAAATCCCAGTGATAAATTGTTACCACAGGTTCGATGTTGTACTTCAGCAATTCGTCAATCAAATTGTTGTAATATTGTACTCCAGCTTCATTTATTTTATCTGGGAAACTGGTTGGAAGAATTCTCGCCCAAGAGATAGAAAATCTGTAGAAGTCAAGTCCAAGTTCTCTTGCCATCTCTACGTCTCTCTTGTAGAGGTTGTACGAGTTATCGGCGACGTCTCCGTTCAGACAATCATCGGTTGAGCAGGGTTCGTTATGAGTCATATGATCCCAAATATTTTCGGTCTTTCCTGCGAAAGAATGCATTATTTTTATATCATACTTTAAAAATTATACATAAAATATAAATAATATTTCCCTCTTGTAAGGTTTCTTGAAATATACCAACCATCTGCGTCCCAACCGCCTTCAATTTGGTAGGAGGCGGTTGCTGCTCCAAACAGGAAGCCATCGGGGAACTTTCTCCCATGATGTCTGACTTCATTTACAGTTTTACTTTCGCAAAGTAATATACATGAATATAAGACTAGTATCACGGTCCTGCAACAGACAGAAACAACATTATATGACTGAGCGAGCAAAAACGAGTGAAAGGAAACAAACAGCTTTGGTAAATAAACAAAAACGAATCGTTTTCTATTTATTATTTACGTAACCTTATTGGATTTAATGCTACCAAACTTTGTATGAGTAAACGTAGTCCAATGCATCCGCAATTAGGGTGCGAATCCAAATAACAAACAATGCAAAGCCTAACAAACGCCCCTGAGCGTTGTAGCATTGCACGCACTAAGCTCGTAGCGCGGGACGGCTGTGCTTAATGAGCAGGAGCTTTCGATCTACGTTATTATTGCACCGAAATTTGGTTAGTTTGCCAACAGTTTCAGATATAGGTAAGCTGGTGAATTGTTGTGATACTTATTTGTCGTGATAATAATGTTTTGATCCCCGCATTCATAAAACACTACCCACTACAAAATCTCGTAAAGTAACGTCGTATCCATAAGTGATCATATTGTCAACTGTACGACTTTTTATATAAATTTTATTATTTAAAGATAACGATGATCCACATGGTTTGTATTGCCTTATACTCGTACAACTATGTTAGTAATTATAATTCTAGCTAATATTACTTAGTTATCCAACCTGTTTTGTAGGTGACCGATCGAAAATTCGAAATGTCGGATAATGAGAGAGATTTAATAACAATAAGGAAGTCATCGGAACAACACCAATACTGTCTAGAAAGTTCTGAGCCTTGTAAGTTATTTGTACATAGTTAGTATCAAAAAGTTACATAATTATCAAATTGATAGGTACATAAAATGTGATTTCGGAGTGGATACGCTGTGTTATTTTAGCAGCTAGTACTCACGGAGCTCTCCTAAGTAGAAGCATTTTGGCCTTCTTTCGCCCAGTCTCAGCAACACTGCGAGTTTTAACGGTATTTCAATTATTTATATATAGCTCGCCCAATTTAACGTGAGTATTCTATCTATTGTGTTTATCTCAAGTACCTATCTAGGTACTTGTATCGGCAAAGGAATATCTTAAAGAGATAATGCCATCGGATATTGTCATCTGTTCGGTCCAATTTGCCACACGTTTGTTGTTGTGTTTAGCTTTCGTAATAACAATTAAGACACTATTTTTCTATAGGCCGAATCCAAAACCATGACAGTGTTTAAAAGTAATTTCTATTGTCTAAACTATCTTCACTGATATTATTTAAAGAGGAAAGATTTTATTGTTTACTAGCTGACCCGGCGAACTTTGTTCCGCCTTAATGGCAATAAATAACGGGATAAAAAGTATCCTATGTCCTTCTCCTGGCTCTAAACTATCTCTCTGACAATTTTCAGCTAAATCGGTTCAGCCGTTCTTGAGTTATAAGTGGAGTAACTAACACGACTTTCTTTTATATAATAGATTTGTATCCAATAGGCTCCGAAACTACTGGATCGAATTGAAAAATTCTTTCACCATTAGACCTCTACATTTATCCTTGTACAGGCCATAGAATATGGATGGATAAAGACATTCTGTGAAAGCCAAATTAACGCGGGCTGAAAATTATGCTAAGACCTCTCTTTACTCGTAGTCAAATGAAAATACAGAAATTAATAGTTGGAGCTACAAAAAGAGAGCTATTAGAGAGTTGGTATTCGTTTGTTCGTTTGTTCGTTCGTTCGTTTCAGCCGAAAGGCGTCCACTGCTGGACAAAGGCCTCCACCAAGAATATCCACAAAGATCGGTCCGACGCCGCTCGCATCCAGGCACATCCCGCGACCTTCACCAGATCGCTTGTGCACCTAGTGAGAGGCCTGCCCACGCTACGTTTTCCGGCTCGTGGTCTCTACTCGAGAACTTTCCTGCCCCAGCGGCCATCAGCTCTACGAGCTATGTGCCCCACACACTGCCACTTGATTTTAGCGATTCTGCGGGCTATGTCAGTCATTTTGGTTCTCTTACGGATCTCCTCATTTCTGATTCGATCACGCATGGAAACTAAGAGCATAGCACGCTCCATCGCCCTTTGGGTGACCTTGAGGCTTCTTATGAGGTCCATAGTGCCCATAGTAAGCGACCACGTCTCAGATCCGTACTTATACCATCACTGGCAACACACACTGGTCAAAGACTTTTGTCTTAAGACACTGCGGTATTTCGGACGTGAGAGTTGGTATACCTAATAGGCAAATATTCATCACGGACATTTTTTTTAAATTTTTTAAAGTCTGCCTTTATGTGTATAGTAAAAATATTAAAAATTTTAAGTGCAGATGCAGATTTCAGTNNNNCAGTACCTCTAGTACGAAAAACTTTCGAGTTCGTTTCGTTGCGTATTCAAAGTGTCATCGAAAAATTTTGTATGAAAAATTAAACAGCGCCCCCTAGGGCGGCTATAATATAGGGGGCGCTGTTTAATTTTTCATACAAAATTTTTCGATGACACTTTGAATACGCAACGAAACGAACTCGAAAGTTTTTCCTACTAGAGGTACAGTTGGCAACAACCAGTAAACTAATACGAGTTTATCCTTCAAGTTAGATTGTGTTCAAATAAAGATGAATTATCATGATATATCATGCGTTAAAAAACCCCTGCGCCACTTAATATATGATATGCTTTTCTATGATTGCTTTGGTAAATTCACCGACACGAGTGTATGTCACATTTAAGATAATTCATCTTTATTTGAACACAATCTAACTTGATGGATAATCATAATAATATGACACCATACAAAATATTGCAATGATATAAGTATGATAAATTACCTACCTACGTTTTTTTTATCTTTTTAAGGTTTACCCCCTTGAGTGAAGATTATACCTAAGCTTATTACATTATTTTATTTTTTTGTGCTTATTTTTTCGAGCAAATTGAAAATGTGACAGGTTAGTGAATTTTTTTTTTATTTAAAAGTATTTGTGGTAGGTGGTCGTAAAGAGCACAAACTGTCTAAATGTAGTCTAGAGTGTTATTAACTTCTTATGAAAGTGTAATGTGTCCCACTAGTCATATTTGCCTAAGAAGAAAATAATATTTTTCAGCTGTGAGCAAACTGTCATCATGATGAATGAGACAAGATGAGGGATATGCCATGTTTCTTTAACTTTGGAATAGAATTAGCTTTATAGTTTTCTAGTTCTACTCGCGCTGAACCCAACTAATTCGTGATGTCTCTCTTAATTGCCACTCATAGCATAAATCATAGTAATAGTTGAAATTTTTGTGCCTTATTGCCCAGATACAAATTTTATATTTTATCGACTTCAATCGGCCAGTATTTTGGTTCATCTAACAGTAGGTAGATAGTTTTCCAATGAATTCTATGAGTAATTATAATTAGAATTTCGGCAGTATTATGAATTTAGCATTTATGACTTTCATTTTGTTTAAGAATCAATAAAATCGAATCATGATTTTACATGTTCTGATTTTTGTGCGTCTTATTTTTGAGTTTTGGTATCAAAGTTGAATAATGGTATGTAATAAAATATAAATTTAAGTTTTGAAACGTTTTTATTGTGTTACGTTCAGTCAGGTTTCAGTTTGCAAGAGCATCAGTGTCCTTCATCGATGGTCATGACGGTGGTGTCGGGCTCGTAATTGAAGTCGAGGGCGCGCGTGCGCACGATCTCCTTGTACACGAAGGCGGACTTGCGCGGCGTGCGCGTTCGCTCCGGGCTCTCGTAGTCTACTTCGTAGATACCGAAACGCTCGCTGTAGAAAAAGATAATGAATAATTATTCAAAAAATTTTTTTTTCCTAGCTTCTTGTTCAATACAGTAAAGTAAGGTACCTAATTTGTAATAGAAAAGGTTATCGGTTAGACATTTCGCTCCTCTAATATTTGTGCATTTTCATTATTTATTTGCTCATCACATCAATGTTTGGCAAATCCTACTAATATTTCCTACTTAATACTTGTTTGTTACTCTTTCACGCAAAAACTACTGAACGGATTTTGATGAAACTTTACAGTATTATTGTTTATAACCTAGAATAACATACAGGCTATAATTTATGACGATCTGTGACAAACGAAATTTCACGCGGGTGAAGCCGCGGGCAAAAGCTTTAATGAATAGATTAACCAAAGACACCCGTGAAAATCAATGAACTTACGTGTATCCCCTCATCCACTCAAAGTTGTCCATAAGACTCCAGAGAGAATACATTCCGATGTCGGAGCCTTCTTCTATGGCGTCCAGCATGACATCCATGTATGACCTGATGTAGCTGATGCGGTCATCATCTTCCAGTCCACCGCGGGTTGACATTCCATTTTCAGTAATGTAGACTAGAGGGTTATCGTAGTCCTCACGAATTTTTGTGAGCAATTTGTAGAATCCCCAGGGAACGTTCTGGAAGTATCACAATTTTTTATATACTCATACGTACTCGTATACCTACATTTGTAAAATTTCCAAAATACACAGTCCTTTTATGTATGGAAATATTTAGAGCAACACTAATACCAACCTTCAACCATGACGACGCTGAGCCTACCCATTCGCTAGGTTGGTATAAAATGACTTCTATATCATCATGGATGGACGGAACAGGATGATAATCCGTTACCGACGCGTTTCTATAGGCTATTTCGGTTGTGTAAGTGTTCAATCCAAAGAAATCAGCAGTTCCTTTAATTAATTCTACTTCTTCAGGGGAGAACTCTGGCAGTCTTGATCTCTTAAAGCCTTGTGCAGCACTCTTAGCTGCAACCCTTTCTTTCATGATGGGAGGCCAGTCTCCAGTCTTGGAGAATATTGGGTGAGCGTATTGGAAATACTGAAAAAAGAGGCTGTCATAAATACCTAATAATTATAATAATTTTCGTATCAAGCTTTGCCTAATATATTTTTATTCTTTGAGGATTTAGCTATGGCTTTGCTCTTGACTTTTATCTTTATAATGACCTTCATGAGACTTCAACATTAATAAATTGATCTAACCGGTATTGATTTTTGAGTAACATTTAAAATGATTTATTTTACGATAGATTACTAAAATAATGCAAACCTCAAATTGCATCGTCTCTTCAGCAGCTGCAGCATCAGCTTCAGTTTCAGGTTCGACCCATTTTGCACTCAGTGTAATACCAAGCTCTCCTTTTTCGCCTCTGAATTCCTTGTCGTACATGTGATATGTTTTGGCATGGGCTAACAGCAAATGTCTGGCGCACATATAATCTGCTACGCCACTTATCGTTAGCAGAGGTGCTAGTCCAGCACTACCATATCCTAAGTAACAAACCTCTCGGGGTTCATTGAAGGTGATCCACATGTCTACTCTGTCTCCAAACTGCTCAAATGCCACGCGTGCGTAGTCAGTGAACCAGTCAATGACGGCGGGGTTGGTCCATCCACCCATTTCTTGCAGTTTTTGCGGTAAATCCCAATGGAAAAGTGTGATCATTGGTTTAATATTGTACTTCAACATCTCGTTGATTAAATTGTTGTAATACTGTACTCCGGCTTCGTTGATTTTGTCAGGGAAACTTGTTGGTAGAATTCTAGACCAGGACAGTGAAAACCTGTAGTAATCAAGTCCGAGTTCCCTCATCATCTCCACATCTCGTTCGTATTGGTTGTAAGAGTCATTGGCAATATCTCCATCGTGACATTCGTCAATTAAGCAGGGCCTAGCGTGGGCTACGTGATCCCAAATGCTAGGGGTTTTTCCTGAAATGTAAACGGAATAAGAAGACTTCAAAATTTTCACTGCAGTACACTCGGAATTTACACCTTAATTACACACTTACCATCAGCGTCCCAGGCACCTTCTATTTGATACGAAGCTGTTGATGTGCTGAATAAGAATCCATCAGGGAATTTCCTCACGTCTTGTTTGGCTCCATTTAGTACCTTGGTTTCAGCCAATAGCAGGCATGATAGAAGGGCTAGAAACAGTGTCCTGTAATAATATTAGAATATTTTATCAAGACATTAACCCTCCTTCATTCATAATAACATGTTATGACTATTAATTGACCCTTCGAGGCAAATTTATTAGTTTGGGACTTAGATGGATAAAATTTCAAAGGATATTATACATACATATTTTACTCTGCTTATAATATTAGTAAAAATATTTACTTACGGAGCTTTACGCAACATTGTTTGGATCATTGGCTTATACACCACTAAAACAAAACAAAGTTTTCTTTATATACTTGTAAATATCAGTTGCTGAATCGCGGAGATAAATCTTTTTGATCTTATCTTGTGTAGGCTCTTGAACTGACGAGCTTTATCTTACCACACAGCAATACGTCAAGCCAAGTTTGGAAACAAATAACTCTTTGCGTCAACGGGCTTACAAGAATCAGATTGTATTATTTTTCAATTACCTATACTTGGCTTAAAAGACGTCATGGAAATTCCATAGATAAATCAAATACTATATTTACCTGATATCTAACATCTAACACGTTCAGTAAATGCTTCAAAAGGTAGGTGAGCTACCATTTAAGTGTTGCTTAGTAAAATTGTAAATTCAGGCAGGTAATACGTGTACAGAATAGTCAAATAAGGTAAGGTGTGATTTTAGATTTTCTTTATTAAACTTAAAAAACAAGTGTGAGTTCAATGTCCTTCATCGATGGTCATGACGGTGGTGTCGGGCTTGTAGTTGAAGTCGAGGGCGCGCGTGCGCACGATCTCCTTGTACACGAAGGCGGACTTGCGCGGTGTGCGCGTGCGTTCTGAGCTCTCGTAGTCGACTTCGTAGAGTCCGGAACGTTCACTGTAAGTATAAAAATCGACAATGAAGATTTGGACTTCATGCAAGATCTACAACAAAAGATTTTTTTTTGGAAGAGTAAGTATATTTTATTACGCTTTATTTCCGATATTTTCTGTGTAACAAAAAGTATTTATCAAAAGTAAGTAGTTGTTTGATTGGATATGGGACTGGACGGCGCGGTATATGTACGAGTTTGTTTTAACTAGTGTCATAGCTATTATCTAGAATCTAAATTTCAACAGATATTTGAGTACCGGTCAGTACTATGCGTGTGATTAATGAATAACTTAAGAAAACTTACGTGTAACCACGCATCCATTCAAAGTTATCCATGAGACTCCAGGCAGTGTACACTCTGACGTCAGATCCATCTTCCATAGCGTCCAGCATTGCGTTGAGGTAACCCCTGTAGTAGGTGATACGATCTTCATCCTCGAGCCCACCGTAAGTTGAGTAGCCATTTTCAGTGATAAATACTATAGGGTTATCATAATTTTCCCTAATCGCCGTAAGAAGTTTGTAGAATCCCCAAGGAACGTCCTGAAAAAGATTCATATCATTACACAATTTTTAACGGATTCGGAAGTACAACTTCCAATATAAATGTGTGTCTGTAGCTTTGTTTTATGTGAGCTTATTTGAAGAATTAATAAGAGATTGAAATAGGATTTAACTTGAGATGAGAAAAGTGACCAAACCGAAAAAAGCAACGACAACATATTTTTTTCAGGTTTTATTACCTTCAACCAACTTGAGACTGCTCCACTCCAATCACTAGGTTGATAGCCATTGGCTTCGATATCGTCATAGTATGATGGAACGTCATAGGTCAGTGATGTTTCGTTTTTGAAAACGATAACTGACGAGTAATGATTAAGCCCGAAGAAATCTGATGATCCTCGAACCATCTCTACTTCCTCGGCAGTAAATTCAGGCAGTCTTGATCTTTGGAAACCTTGCGCTGCGCTTTTTGCTGCTATTCTTTCCTTCATCACAGGGGGAAAATCTCCAGCTTTTGAGAATATTGGATGAGCATACTGCCCCCACTGTAATAATTATAATGTTGTTAAAATCAAAGTCGAGAAAAAAATAAGGAGTGGTAAGCAAAAAATTTAGTTATTACCTCAAATTGCCTCATTACTTCCGCTGCCTCGGCGTGATCTTCAGTTTCAGGTTCCATCCACGATGCACTGATAGTGATACCGATGGTGCCTCCCTGTGTTGCTCTAAACTCTTTGTCGTAAATATGATACGCTTTTGCATGAGCAACTAACAGGTTCTTAGCACACATATACTCTGCCGTACCTTGAATGTTTAACTGCGGTGCCATAGTGACTGACCCATATCCTTGATAACAAATTTCACGGGGTTCGTTCAAGGTTATCCAATATTTAACTCTATCTCCAAACTGTTCAAATAACACACGAGAGTAGTCAGAAAACCAGTCCACAATGTGAGGATTAGTCCAGCCACCCATTTCTTGTAGTTTCTGGGGCAAATCCCAGTGATAAATTGTAACCATTGGTTCGATGTTGTACTTCAACAATTCGTTAATCAAATTATTGTAATATTGTACTCCTGCTTCATTTATTTTGTCTGGGAAACTAGTTGGTAGGACTCTTGACCAAGAGATAGAGAATCTGTAAAAGTCGAGGCCAAGTTCTCTTGCCATCTCTACGTCTCTCTTGTAGAGGTTGTACGAGTCGTCGGCGACGTCTCCGTTCAGACAATCATCTGTTACGCAGGGGTTATTGTGAGTCATATGATCCCAAATGTTTTCGGACTTTCCTGTGAAAAAATAAATAAAAATCGTAATCATTACAATGAGCATGTCAGATTAAAAATATTAACAATAAACCTAAATTAAACCTACCGTCTGCATTCCAACCACCTTCGATTTGGTAGGAAGCAGTAGCTGTACCAAACAAAAATCCATCAGGGAAATTTCTCACAGTTTGTCTGGCTTTGAGGGTATTGCTTTCGCATAACAATATACACGAAAACAACGTTAGTGTGAAAGTACTGCAACAAACCAAAAAAAACAACCAATAAGTCATGTAGAATCAGATAGTCTTGTTATTTAGTGGTTATAACTTCAAGCAACCCATTACAATTAATTTAGTTACCATATTAACAGCTAGGATACTTACGGAAATCTCCTTAGAAGCAACATTTTAAAGTACTTCGATCCAGCTTCTCAAACATACGGATATAGATAGATATTAGCCCCATCGTTTATATACTTTTGTTTACCTGTACCAGACAATCTTGCCTTTATCTCAAGAGCATCTGCTTGATAGTGTGCTCTGAGTTTTGCACCAGACGCGAAGGTTACCTACCACCTACCTATAGTTACGAATATTTAGGCTTAGTCCTTTGGGCTATTTGTATTGTATTGTATATTGTAGACCAGACACGGGCCAGAATTTTCCCGTTACTAATATGGCTGCTAGACAAAATTAATGTATCGCTTGGGTTTTCCAGAGGCTTGGTCAATGAAAACAGTCTACCTACACGAAACTCGCGCTTTTTCGTGGTATCTGTACTCGACAACTAGAGATTGGTCGCCGCTTCATGTGAGGATACAGCATGAGACAAAAGACATTTCAGAATTTTCTCATGATAAGTATTTTGAACTACATACGTAAGACTTGAAATCACATGATGAAAATCTACGGAATCCTGTGCATGCGAGTGTAACTCGCAGTTGATCGGTTATCTATATATATAAAAGAAAGTCGTGTTAGTTACTTCGCTTATAACTCAAGAACGGCTGAACCGATTTAGCTGAAAATTGTCAGGGAGGTAGTTTAGAGCCAGGACAAGGTCATAGGATACTTTTTATCCCGTTCGAAATTAAGTCTGCTTATTTATTGCCATTAAGGCGGAACAAAGTTCGCCGGGTCAGCTAGTTTTGAATACAAGCAATACTTTTGTATTTCCTTTCAATGTTAGTGTTTAGTGTCCGGACGGAATTGAAGTTTGGGCTTCCACAAAGTTAGGAAGCAATAGTTGCATTGGTGCAGGTATGGTTGTTTCTGTTTAGCCTTTTGAGCGGCTAAAGTTGGTGAATGGCACCGATCCCTTAGGTATAGCGAAATTCAAACCCAACGTACGTGGTACATTATAACTCAATGCCCAACGCCACGTAAAGCCGTTGAATAACGAAGTTTTGATAGTGTTGTAAAATGTGGAAGGAATATTTTATTTTATTTATATTCCACATACCTATCTAGTCTATTTTAATAACTAATAATAACTACACATTACTACTAGCTAATAGCTGGTGTAAGAAAATAAGTTGTGCGGTTTCCATCGGTTCACAACGAACTACAGCGGTTTAATTACTCCAAAACTGTTGTTCAAAAAAGTACAGAGAAAAGAAACAAAGACAAAACCCTAAAATTACTTTTGAACCTCGCCATTGTAGGCAGAAAAGTAATATGGATATTTAGAGCTTAATCTGACGTTATCCTTCAAAAGAGGACCTAACCCGATGAATGCGATCTGTCTTTGCAAATGTCGCATTAATCTAGCTTAAAATTGAGCTGAAGAATAATTATCCGAACCAAGGGTACTCATTAGGGTTAGCCGATTCTAAACAATTTCTCTATTCAGTTTTGAATTAAGCAAACAATATAGGTACTCGCGAGTATTGGAACACAATTTTTAAAAAACTAATTTTGCTAATTTCTGGTTTTTCTTGTAACTAGACATTACAGAGAGGTTATAGTTATTGTATAGGTATGTACCACACAGAAATTATCTACCTCTGCATAAATAGCTCCAGCACCGGAATTGCGTCCTAACATTATGCGTGAATGTGGTTTTTAAGCACACAAAAAAAGGAATATTTGCAGAAAGCCAGATTCATTTATTATCAGGTACTAGGGCACTATTTAAGTTGTGAGCCTCGACAACATAACGTGTTGTTAGACGACATCTGATACTTTTAATGAAAAGTTTGTCATTTTTGACTACAACCTTACTCAAAACTTTTTATCATTTGAGCACGTTTTGTATTATTAACATTGAATTGAAAATTATCTTGACTACAAAAACATGGAATTGACTTGCGGACATTTTCGCGCGAAGATTTATTATGACTTTCGACGTGGTTAATCAATACAAAACTGAAGAGGTCAGCTAAATTTCACTTTTGGTGATAAAGATCTATCCTTTACCATTGTAAAACGCTAGTTTAAGAAGTATAATACTTATTTTATGTCATTGGCTCACCAGTGAACTTTGCGAAAGTCGTCCAAAATGACTTATTGTGGCGGAAAACATTGATGTTGTCAGAAAAATGGAAGAGAAACCTCGTCATGTGATATATCGTAGGAGTGAGATAACCCTAGGCATTAATTCCACTAGCAGTAATAAAATATTGTATAACCATATTNCATGAAAGACTATATAATATTTTATGTATTATATTGTGTACATTTTTGTAGCTTTTTAGCACCGCCTACTAAATATCTCTGTTTTGCTCAAGGTCAGCTGGTAGAGAATGACGTATGGCATTATGCTCGCCTTTTTGTACAGAACATTGTTGTGTGTGCAATAAAGTCTTTAAATAAAAAAATAAAGACAATACCAATAAACGCAATCAATACAATTTTAATAATAAACTACTTTGTTTTCATAGTTAGGCTCACAACTTAAATAGTGTCCCACGTATCCTCAGCAGCAGTACGGCTATCTCTATTTACTAAAGGCGAATTATAAATATTATCCCAACTTCCCAACTAATATTATAAATGCGAAAGTAACTCTGTCTGTCTGTCTGTCTGTCTGTCTGTCTGTCTGTTACGCTTTCCCGCTTAAACCTCGCAACCGATTTTGATGAAATTTGGCATAGAGATAGTTTGAGTCCCGGGAAAGAACATAGGATAGTTTTTATCCCGGTTTTTGAAACAGGGACGCGCGCGATAAAGTTTTTCTGTGACAGACAAAATTCCACGCGGGCGAAGCCGCGGGCGGAAAGCTAGTAATAAATAAAACTAGGTCGGTTACAGCTGAATCGAACTCAGAATCTACGAGTCCAGAGGGTCCAATTCTCAGACCACTAGACCATAGAAGCGTTAAATGGCTATTATATCAATAGTACGAGTAAATAAATAAGAAATAAAAGCGGTGTTGGTAATATATCGTGTTAAGGCTGCGGGTCACACACGAAGCGAATGATGATATAATAAAATATGTTTTCGCCGGCACAGTGCGTCGGGCGAAAGCTATAAATTGTGCCCGCTTTGATTCATGGGAGCGCCGGGAGTGACCGGCTTAATATACCCAGCCACGTTTCACAGTGTTTATACAAATATCGTTTACTATCATCAACATTTTGGGAAAAACATAATTCCATTACGTCAGTCGAGTAGATGTCAAGATAATCGTATCATGATGTAGTGTGTTACATAAGTGTTCATAATGTTTTGTTTGTTTTTCGTATTAATCTCAACGGATCAGTCTTTAGAAAACCTTACTTAGAGACAGAGTTCTATTAGTTATAGATTTTTGTCTCCGAAAATACTACACCAATATGTTCGGACCTCGGGACCTATTTAAAGAACAATAGGGTTTGTTACGTGCGCTCTTTGCATCTGTATTTTAACCCTTTCGATGCCCGTAGGCTAGAGGATGGACCCATAATTTTCACTTTTCGCAAATGGCGCGTGAATCGAATCCTGTTGATCCGCATCGGGCATAAACAAACATTCGTTCTGGATTTACGAACGAGCGGTTCTCTAGGGACCTGTACTGCTCGTCCAAGATCTCGGTTTCTTTACACGTACAGGATACATTATAGGGTTGTCAGTCATTTGGACATCATGACAGGTTTTTGTTGCTTTAGGGGCGTTGAGGAAAAATGACGAATTATGCTCTTTAATTCTTTTTTTTTGTATTAAACACGTTTTATTTTACTAGCTGTGATTTTGTAGTTTTTTATTTTCCTATACCATCTTCTCTGTGTTTAACTTTTAAAGTAACATGAAGCAGAAGGTTTATGCCTGGACAAGCGATCATTTTTTGGCTATGCGCATGTTAAGTTAAGCTGTATCTTAAAGTATCTTAAAGCTAAGATCAATTTTTGGTTTACCTTGCTTCAGAAAATATTAAACAAGTATAGGTAGGAGAACGTTCGACGTGCAGTTTGTAGGTAGCCAGAGCCGCAAGTTCATAAAATATTGGGACTTATCTGGCAGCCCTGAGTAGACATAACCTTTTGCACCTTACGACCATGCGATAGAACTTATATTAGAGTGGATGTTCCATCTCAAGTTGGAAATACATTGGGGCCTGATGAGGCGTGCATGTTGAGAGTATCCAATAAAATCGAGAATTTGGGAGTTTCTTTTGCAAGTTGCCAATGTTCAGCCGAGGGTTACTTGAGATTTGGATTCGTTAGAAATGTGCCAATTTTTATATCTGTATTAGTACCTATTAGAAAATGGGTTTCATTACCCGTGTTCCTGTGTCTAAAAGGTATATTGTCAGAAGTATAAAAACAGAAATTATAATGTATTAATAGTTCATAATCCAATTTAATATTAGAATAAATATTTACCTCGAATAATACGATTAGTTATGCAAACATAATGCACACAAAGATCTTGTTAGGAGTTTTGTTAATAATGCGCGTACTAAGTTTGCACTGTCTCACACAAAACTAAATTTAATTAATAGTAGCATTCCTCTGTGAATATGTTCTTGGCATTCATGATGTAAGTAATAATCTAACTAATGTATTACTGAAATAGTCTTAATTATCACACAATGTAACATTGAATTCGTCAGAATTATTATCTGTAAATGAAAAGTTTAAAGCCCATCTGAATCTGAGCAAATTCCTTTCAGAACTCCTAACAAAATTTTCGCAATGTTGGATTCAGTTCTCAATGGAGGGTCGCGTATTTTTTAAGTGGTACTTAATTTAGTAGGTAGAAGCGTTAAATACTGGAGGTGAATAGCACAGAAAGGGCTCGGCCTAACAAGTTGTTTGAACAACCGGGCCGGATCCGCCAGCTCTATTCAAAATTCTGTAATTGCTAACTGCCATGGAAACAAAAAGTGAGTCCGCTCGGGCTCGGAACTAGATCTGTATAAGTACTTGTAGCGAGATATTGTGTTCTCGTTACTAAAACAATCACAATGGAGCATCACTTCGAGTTGTGAGAGAATAATGTTTGTATTTTGCAAAAAAAAATAGAAATGCACGTACAGTCGAGCACACTAGACTCTACATTTTTGTTTTAAAATACTTATGGCACATTGTTTAAAGCTTCATGTTCTGTCATAAAAAAGAAGCGCTAATAATGGCCGCTTTTTAACAACAAAAGGTAGGTTTCGACCGTAATCACACCAATGTAACTGGTGTTATTGCGGTCGAAACACAAATTAATTTCTAAGTAACCTTTCTTTATTTTGCAGGCATTCGATGAACAAACGATTTGCTACAGCTCTACTAAAACAATATTTTTAATTCACAACGACACAGCGGCCATTATTAACGCTACTTTTGATGCGCCAACAAGTTAATTGCACGTTAGCATGTTGAATTTCCATCGCACGTGCATTTCGTTCGACCTTTAACGTTAAACACGGCGTATTTTTGTGTAATTACAAGCTGCTAGTTATTTGTAATTGGAAAATAATTGTGAATGTTTGAACGATGCTTATTGTTTACGCAAACATTTGTATTTATTATACAAATACGACTGTTTTAAGAAGAGACTTTTTATCTTATTTTTATTTCGTTTATCTAAAGTGGATAAGTAGTAACTATTTATTTACATTTTTGGGAGGCATTTATCTCTATCAATATGATGAATTGACAGTTTAATGTTTTTTGACTGCTTAGTAACTCCTATGTTGGTCTATAAAACTTATGACGTAGGTACCTATCTAATATCTAATCTTATCTATCAAAGGTGGACTTTGCTTCACAACAACCATAATGGTAAGTATTCTTATTTAGAATATCTGCCAAGAAAATAGTAGCTAGAATAAATGAGAAAAGGGTTTAATTAAACCTTATTATATATCCTCTGTAGATCTAAATATGTTCAAAGCGACGGTGATGAGGTACTTATACGAGTAATATGTTTTAATTGTTTTAATCATGGTATTTTAGAGGAACAATATTTTTGTAGGCTACAAAACTGAAAAGTATGTTAACCGTTTCAACTCCATGTGCATCCTTATAAAGCAAATGGGTACGAGTATTGAATGAACAAGTTCCGATACCCTTGTGAAGCAAAGTGTCGTGACGAGAACACGCTTTGGACAGCATAAGCCATTGTCAGTCGGTCACAAAGCGTTATTTATCCAAGCGCTTCCAGCGCTCTGGGGCCACTTTGTCTAAGTGGTCGTCAGACGCGTAAGCGCTCGGCTTGTTACCTCTGTGATAGCGTGGTATAACGCATGTGTTGCACTTACCGCGTCCCCGGAGAACGCCGGCGATTTCCCTTAGTGGACGGACGGAACGTGCCTTCTGGATCGCATAATGTGCTGCTATTATATAGATGAGAACAAGCCTTAATATACTCGTAGATTAGTTACTCGTTTATTGTTAGCGATTATAATTACAAAGATAAGAGAGTTACGAAGTGATGGGATTCTTCAGTGGGAGTACCTATATCCTTAACATAGCGAATATATTGTTATTTGAAATTTTAAAAGCATACCACTCCAACAACAAATTAAGACGTGTTTTCCAAAGTGCTCTACATTATAAATTACGACAAGCTGCATTGAAAATCAATAGGCACAACTCTAGCTAGAAGGGAAGTAAGCAAAGTACCTGCCACTTAAGCACGATTTAACCCCAATTTGAATTTATTACGAGTGGAAAGGTACAATTTGTTAAGGGTAATGAAAATAACTCCTCGGTAAACTCCTCGGTGGCAGACATTTTTCCTGCACAGTGCAGAGAATAACAATGAGTCGTGCGAATAACTGTAATAATGGCACCTCTCCGCCAAGAAATGATGTCTCATTCGAGAAATATACAGGACACTATGAAACTACAGTCTTGGTGCAGTGGCAATAGAGTTCAATTTGCCACATAACAGAAACGAGGGTACTTTACACACAGTAACTGTTGTAAGCTCATACGCGTTGTCTTTGTCATTCTAATTTTAACGTTTCTAGAATTTCTGTAAGCTTCCTTTTGTGTTCATGTGAGCCTAATTTTTTCTTATACTCGTACAAGTTTTGTATAACACTGAATAGATTAGATACGTGACTTCACTAAAATTATGATCCTGGCTCTAACAGGTTAATGTTTAAGCAATAACTTTGCTATCATAAATATTAACGCATCAAAAATTCCATATTACTTAAATCCAGTCAAAATTATTTGGGTCCGTTAGCGTACCGTATTTATTTATTCATCCAAAATATTAAGAGTAATGGTATTTATGAGGGTTGTTTTTGATAACCGGGGATTATAATAATCTGGGCGAGCCGCATCATCCACCTGGTTAACCGGAAAATGGAAGCCGGGTAAGACAGATAAATATCTTTTTTGCCGTTTAACACTTTTTCAGCAAATCTTCAATACAAGTAATAGGCAATATTTTTCAATAATGTAAAGCTTTAGTTTATGAAATATTATAAGTATACCTAAATAGTCTAAATACCTATCTTTATCTTATTGTATGACTTCTATTTGTCTAGCTAATGTTTTATTATTCAAGATCACAGCAATATTTCAGGAGGCCATTAAGTAGGAAAGTTGAAAACGTATTTATACAGTTATCAAATGTTTGCATCTCTAATCAAAATTTAATACTAATTCTATGGTTTGTTTTGTATATCTAGCTGCTAGTTTCTCTCCATATCTGTCGTTTGCATACGTTCTGATATCCTTAGGTTGAGGGTCTTGCTTTTGTTCAATATTACATTCTGTGTTTTCTTCCAAATCTCTGACATTGTCGTCTAACCATTTGTTGAAATGTCGCACATCTGTATACATAGATGGCATCATGTCTGAACCACAAAAATTATCTCTGCCGGAAGATACAAGACCCACGATGTTCCTGTAAAGTTTAAAGTTTGTGATTATTATTTTTGCGTGTAATTGTAAATAAATTATTTTATCGCCTAGTTCGTGTCTTATACTGTCATTAAGTTATATGGGTACCTTTTATACAAATATGATCTCAATTAGATAGTAAGCAAGTATCAAGAGTGGCCAATCCTCTTGCAGGGTGCTAATGCCTTTTCCATGTTTCTAGGTACCTATCTATATTCATGCCAGATATTAGCTTTGAATGAGAGGTGACCATAGACAAGTGGGTTCGAAAATATGTAATGACATTAGCCCTGCTGCCCTTCATCTTTGGATTATCTATCCACTTCTATCTTGTCCTCAAAAGTCACATAATCTGCACATACCTTTTCCAAATAACTGGGGAACCAGAGTCCCCAAAGCAATCGCTTGTCCACCTTTCACCAATCATGCAGAACATATGCGAAGGTAGAACTATGGGGAACGGCATGCCGTGCTGTGAGTTAAAGCATTGCGTTTCGTTGATGTAATACATTTTAGTCATCTGAAGAGTCTCCGGCAATTTTCCTGCGTTCTGAAAAAATGATCTCATTGACAGGTCGCTCTAATTAAGAAAGAAAGAAAGAAAAATATTTAAGCATCTAATTGCTTGGTTTATATGAACACGCGAATTTTTTGTCTGTCATAGAAAAACTTTATCACATGCGTGGGTAAAAACAAACCGGGATAAAAACCAAATTTCATCAAAATCGATTCAGTGGCTTAGGCGTGAAAGCGTAACAGAAAGGCAGAGTTACTTTCGCATTTATAATATTAATTTTATTGAAGTAAAGAGATAGTAGGGATTATATTAATAAGTGGTAAAATACAAATGAAAATCTAATTATTACTGACCGATGTTACACCAAATCCTATGACAGTCAACATGCTAGCTTTCTTTTTCCATTGGCTGTTAGAGACGGGCGCGATTTTTTGTACAGTTGCTCCAAATTTTATGTTTTTGTTGAGTAACATTAATCCTAAGTCGTATCCATATAAAACTGTGCCGTAGCGTGCATGCGGAAGGGTTTTGCACACTTTATATTTTGTGCCATCCAATGCTTTTGCTGAACCTGCGAAAAAATAGTTAACTTTCGTATTAGCCCAAGCATGCGTGATTGCTACTATCTAATAATCTCTAATATCTTAATTATCTAATGTGTAGAAATAGATCTTGAACCGTGAAAACTATATTCAAATTAAGGAAGAGAACTGATTTAGTATTCAGTTCTTTAGTTGTTATTGTTTAGTGTTTTTTTTTGTATTGTTATTTAATACTTCGGCGAGGGCAGGGTAGAGAAATCCTAGGATGAAGCAGGCTACTCTACGTGACGGATGTCACTTGCTAACATTTCCCCATTTATTCACACGTAGATGACGTTGAGTGCGTCTTCGGAGTTCTATGCTTCCTCTGCATCCTTAGCTGTCGTTTTTAGTTACTACTAACAAAGTTTAACTTACCCAAATAGACTTCAAAAGTCTCGGGAGGTATGCACCCTGTAAATGAGCAGAGACAGATGCTGCTGTGAGGATTACTGGTGGCTGATGACGGAGTCGCTGCACTGGATGCGAATCTGGCGATTTCTTCGGTCTGTCTTCGGTCTACTATTCCCTCTGCCTCCTTAGCTGTCGTTTTTAGTTACTACTAATGAAGTTTAATTTACCCAAATAGACGTCAAAGGTCTTGGCTGGTAATATGTGCCCTGTAGATGAGCAGAGGCAGTGTGCTGCTGTGAGGATCACCCGGTCGCTGACGACGGAGCCGCCGCAGTGGACGCGCCCGAACCTGCCGATCAGCGCCATGTACGGGTACATCGATATTGGTACATCCACGCCGTTCAGTATGTACCCAGTTAGGTGGCTTTGATCTGGAATGGTAAGCACATTAGTACATCATATCAAAGAATACTAGATGTAGATGGCGGCAAAGATAGTGAGACAAAATAAGAGTGTAACGACTGGGAAGAAGAGTATTCTTTGAATAATAAATACAAGAAATTGGAGTAATGGCTATTAAAAATACATAGATGATTACGAGTAGAAAACATGAAAGAATGAAGTGGTGTTAGATTCTGGAACTTAAAACTCAGACTTTCAGACATGTTTCTCCTTATAGGCCTGGACAACTTTTCATTGTAGGTACAGCTATTAAGTAACCGAAGATTTGGAATGTCTACAAATACATTGGAAATTTTTTCAACTTCTGTCTGACTGAAAAGAAGAAGCACGACTCTTGCCGCGTACACTCATCGCTGAGCTAACTTGCCAGCCTTCAGTGCTCTGCTTGGTTGCAGAAAAAGGTACAAACGTTATGTGATATGAACGCAATCGCGACCTTTAACCTTTGACAAGATGGCAGAGTAATCGAGGCGAGAAGGAGGATTCCTAACTGATGCAAATCGTATTACTTACACTACGACTAACGCTTCGGGATAGGACAGGGAGGTTAGATACGGATAAATTATTTTGCTATTCGAACCGTATTTGGATGAGCTGAATAGATATACCAATTGGTTATTTCTTGAGATCAATAAATAAAAACTTACCCGATTTTTCTATGATTACTAAAAGTAAAATCCATAAGTAAAGATTTGTTCGACACAACCTATCTATTGAAAGCTGCATACCTATTAGAAATGGATACATCTACGACCATTTAATTGGTTTTTTGTTTTGATAATTGGTATTGGAGACCACGTAAATCACAGTCAGCGTGAAAATCGATTACACTGGGGTTAATGTAACATGTGTAAAGTGGTTATTTCTTGCTCAAGGCAATCATTCGATGAAGATGGTCATAGTCATCATCGTAAATAACGTTAAAATTAACGCAAACGTATTTCTGTGTAACATACACAAGAATACATACATCTCAAAATTGTATCTTTCTCAGAATAAAATTGTCAGATGCCACTTAACCGAACTGCAGATCCTATCACAATGTTTGTTCTTCAATAAGTAGGTTTTGTGTTTGCTAGAGCAATTTCTTTGTTTGAAAAGTAGAGACGTTTCAGGCGATTTTATTTTCATGGAGCTCTAGTTTTTTGTTCTTTTGAATATGCCGAGCCCTAGGTAGTCAGGAAATTGAAATAAAAGCCACGCCTCTATGTAAATACCGTGTGCAAGGGAAATTATGCAAATAAAAACCATGCACGCAAAAACTTTCTGACGGCTTTTCACTGCACTTCTGGAAAAGAGCATTTTTATTCAAATGTGTTTTGCGTCAGCGGCTGTGACTGATCTACCTTCAGAGGTTTTCTTTATAGAGTTTATTTTTTTGTAATAGGTATACAAACAGTTTACAGTCTGGGCTTCATCGTAAAAAAGAAAAGTGTTAATTACATACTGGACCGTAAGCCAAAATTAGTAGACACAGCATGATAAATTAAATTAAATCACAAGTAGGTACTATCCAAAAATAAATACAGTTCTAACTTAACTCTAACAGTTACAACACAATATTATGAAATTTATTTAGATATTTTATACTAATTGCGGTGATTACGATGGAAGTAAAAGATTACCCAGAAGACATTACCCACCGTTCCCACCGGGAGACGCTGTCGTTTCGTCATTTTTGAGCAAGTCGGATATAGCCTTTTTATACTGAGGAAATTTACTATTAAATACGTCTATGTCCTTGCCTGCACGAGCCAACTCATTATATGCGCGACACATCCTGACTAGAGGGTTGTAGTAAGAAGTATTGTTTTTGTATGCCTATATTGCGAAGATGTTAGACTTCGACCCACGGGAATATGCCGTATATTGGAATAATGGATAATAATAATTCTTAATTTAGACTTTTCCTAGCAGCTCGTAACGATTGTTGGTTTTCTGTTTCAATTACAATTAGAACTTGGACATGTTTTTAAAATATCACTAAAAATCATCTAATTTTGGTAAATTAACAATACTTATTGCAAGAAAAAATTGTCATTTTTGGTAGCCTTTACCACATTAAACGTTGTCAATTTTGCCAGAAAAAAGTCATTTTCGCAGTGCTGTAAAACTTCACCGTATTTCTGGCGAAAAGTGACCGCTTTTACATGGATTTTTACACTTGTTCAAGCGACCTTATAAAATGAAACGTTCGTCTTTTTAACACAGTTTCGGCACGGCCTGTTGAGCTCAGAAATGATTTCAGAAACCTGCACTTTAGTCTATACCATTCAGAGGATTTTTAATTTGTGGCACATTTCTGCCTGTGAAATATAAAAACTAACCTACATTATTAAGTAGCAGAAATAAATTATTTTAATTTGAAACATACTGTAGCTTAGCTGTAGTAGGAGTGATTTTGAAGTAAAAATGTATGGTTTGATACCTATTACTGACCAGGCTAGACAGTAAGCCTGTTAGGGTTCTATAATAGTTTCTACTATTACTTAAGAGCGTTTACGCCGATTGGCGCAAAAACAGTACTTTTTCAACTCGTTACAATCATTAACCAGTAATATTACAAATATGTTATAGGCATAAATAGTTAGGCAATTTCGTCGTCTAAATAGTTAATTGAGAAAATATTGCGATTAGTTTAGTATTTAAGAATTCTATCAAGATAAGTCCACACAGGTTTTGTAAATTTCCACTTTAGCGTCAGTTTACAAGCTGAAATTTTTATCAAAATACTGTTAAAACGATTTAACAAACACTTATATCCTATAGCATAGATCCTTGGGCAAATAGTTATCTGAGAAAATTTTTAGATTTAAGCATTTTACAATAAGAAATCACAAATTAAAAAAACGTGAAATACCCAAAAATCAAAGTGATTTTTACACCATTATTCTTCTTTAATTCAACATAAAAATAGCTTAATATAATAAAATAACATCTTCTTTAAAATATTTACTTTGAAAAGATATATAATTCATTGTTATTGTTTTGCTATAAACATTTGGAAACTATTAAAAAACGCCGCGCGCGAATCATTTCCAATGATGCCCCTTGAAACGCCGCGCTTCGCGTAAACGCTCTTAAATAGGTACACACGAGTATAGCACAAGAATGACTTAATTTGTTTCGCTACATTTTAACCTTTCATTTTGTCTCCACGACCGTGTTAAGCTCCGAATATTAGAGATGGGTTATACTAGGTAAATTTGATACTAGGTGCACCTATTCCTAGTATTTATTAATACTCGATCCAAATACCTATTCCACCTAGTACATAGTAATTTACTTGACGCGACTAGTGCGGACTAATCCACGTAATATGACTTTAAAATACAATTTTCTTTGAAAAGATACAACCGTAGTATGAATAATGCAATTTGAAATTGAATAATAATGTTTTTGCTGGCTGTTGATTGATTGATATCCTCCCTTCATACTTCAACAGGCTTAGTAGGACTGTCAACTTAAAAGTTGGCGTATTTAAAAGATATCAATTTCATAAAAATATATACATTTTTTTCTTTTGAATTTACATGAATATGGTTTGACTAGGTTTGTGTGCGTTTGATTCGTCGCGCTCAAATTTGTTTGGTCAGACAGAGACGGAGTGAATCTATTACGTTCGCACATAAGCTTAGCGAGAAATACTCGGTGCGCGTAATACACGACTACGGATTACGCAATAATAACCTCTATTACTTTGGTGGTAGGGTCGGAAATCGTGTAATTTATAAAATACTAGGTGGATCAAGTATTTAAAAAATTGGAATAGGTGCCGCTTAGTACTGTAAAATACCTAGTGTGTGGATCTGTTCTAGTAAATACGTCTCATCTCTACCGAATATGGCCACACACTAAGAAGAGCTTCGGTAAGAACACAATGTGCTAACTTGGCACTATTAGGCACGTTTATGGATCCATTTGGCAGCAATTATGAAACTATCCTATTGTTTCCCATGGAACTGCCGCTAAGGGCTTAAGCATTTCATTTGCCGTATTGAAAAGGTTCCTAATTGTTTCGTTTCTGTTGCAAAGTTGTCAACTTTAAAATAATAAATAAGGTCATTCGAAAGAGTATCCTTGACCTCTGGGATTAAGTTTAAACATAGGAATGGATTAATTACAAATGAAATAGTATTTTTAATATGTGCTTATAACTCTATTGTGTGAACATTAATTTTGACAAAATTAATTAATGTAATCCAAATTACTTAGGCTTAACACAATTTTACCATTCATAAAAACACTTCAGAAAGACGGCTGAAATAAGCGAAGTAAAAGTTGTTGTAAAACATCTTATCTTGAGGTCTCCTCCCACTTGACAAATTTAATTTAAATTGTCACTTAATTTTAAAATTAGCCTTGTAAAATGTTGGAGCACGAACACGATTATCTTAAAAGGTATTTTATTTCATACTAGCTACGTTTTGTTCGCGTAGAATTAAAGAAAGATATTTTGTAGCTAAGAAAAGTTGAATGACGAGATGAGGTCATGAGATATCTCATATCATAGCCTAAGGAGGTAGAAAATACAGCGTGGGATGTCCATCCACAAGGTGGACCGATGACCTCATAAAGGTAGCAGGAAGGCGCTGGATGCAGGCCGTTACCAACTGGGCGATGTAGAAAACATTGGGGGAGACCAATGTTCAGCAGTGGACATCCTATGGCTGAAATGATGATGATGATGATGAACTAGGTACCAATTTATTTTGTGGTATAGTAAGGGATAGTTAACAAAACACAAATAGTTAAATCTGATAAATATCCCAAACTGAATGTGTTTTGCTTCAGCGCACATACACATCACTGGATAAATTGATAGATCAGGATCACAAAAAGGGGTGACGAAGCTGCAATTGAAAAAAAACATATTTGGACTAACATTTTCCAAATACGAGTGCATAATATTATAACTGACTTGACTCAGCAACTTACCAAACTCACAATAAGAAAGATTTTTATTACAGCACCGGTGTGGAGAGAAAGAAAATTTACCCACTTAATATGTTTTATTATGTAAAAATCTTATAAAAATGTAGACACATGTGCCGAAAAAACTTCTCCATATAAAGTGCTCGCCTGTCGTACGCGACTGGGAATTCTTTTCTCATGCACCCCTCGCATTGTATTCCCATTTTATTTGCAAAAAGCCTTTTTAATGATAACATGGAATTTTTCATAACTTGTTCAGAGGAAGGGAGTGGTAGTATGTAATAAAATATGCTTCTATTGCACGGGTTCGTCCCGGCCTTCGTCGCTCAGGAATTATTACGAGAAATTGTACTTGCTCTGTTATGTTATTCGGAAAAGAATTTTATTAATTTTTAAGTATGAAAATTTAGTTTAGTGTCTTTTTGTTCCGAAAATTCCAAGAATCATGTCTCATGTCTCGTGAAGGGAAATATAAATGCCTTTAAGTTTTAAGAAAACCAGTACTATCAGAATTGAAAACTGTTGTGGAAGAAATGCTCTCGAGAGAACGGCAGACCATTTACCAGTTTAGACTGTTTACCTAGTTAGGGTCACGGGAAGCCAATGGATTGAATTTCCCCAGGGTCAAAAGGTTCTATGGAATGTTATGTCAAACAAGTTCAACTTGTAGAAGCCTAGTTGTAGACTAGTCTAGAGACTGATATTAAAGATTTTTTAAACATTTATGTTTTTAAACAAAAAAATTCGCTACAAATAAATCTTCGGGCGTTTTAAACAGCAGGCTATCGCATATTAAGCAAACACTACAAACGGCGCAGCTAAGCCTTTCAGGAATATGTAAATCGGCCGAAGCCTCAATCAGTATTCAAATCAGCTGATCCCATTAATCCGTGCTTGTAGCTGGCTGACGTTTGTCGTGACGCGGCTTGTTAGTGACCCCGGACTCGTGTCCCAGTTTGGGACAGGTGAAGAGTAGGACAGGGGAAAAGGTCGGTTAAAAAAGTAAGCACGTTTGTGATATCGCGGATCTTAGCCCGAACTGTAAGTAGTGCAGGGAAAACCAAAAGTATCACAGTAAGATTAATAGGATTTCATTTTCATTTACTTGACCCGAGATTAGTGATTTTTAGCTGGAAACACATATCTTATCTGAAATGTATTAATGTGTCTCAAAAATTAATTAATTCTTTAAACATTTTGGCCTGTAATCTCCCTATTTTTTAAAATTCACAGCGCGTGCTCATTCGTATTTAAATGAGCGAATTTGCTTAACCCTAATAAAAAATAACATATTAGGTATGTANTGTAAAGTTTGTATTTTCGTTTTTACTCGCACAACCTACGAGTACCTACCCGAACAAACTCACTCCGTAATATTCATTAGAACAAATGTGGCATGAAATCGCGAGCGACATATGCCCTCGAAGCCATTTTCTGTAATGATAACGAGGATACAATGCCCGCTTTTGAAAAAGGATTTCCCCAACAAATCAACCCAGCAGCCTGGAACGTCAATTTGAGTGTGTCGTTCCAACAATTAACCGGGAAATACTCGTATGATGACCTTTTCGGGTCACTGAGCAATTTAAATCGGCTGTCTTTGTGATGTAGGTGTAGCTGAAACGAAATGAGAGTTGCTCTTTTGGGGACTCGTGACGTGTCAGCCGGAACGTAACGACGGTATCGTGTGTGATACTCTGAAGACGTACTTGCACTTTCTGGAGGATATATTTTTGATTAGAATAGTCCTTCAAGAACTGCAAATCGAGTTAAGCGATCTAATGCGACCGTTTGGGGTTTGATGAGATCACTTCTGAAATATGGCTATTTTAATTACCATAATT